CTGAGCTAAACCCCCTCCCTCCTGCCTAAGTCTTTTGAGGCAAGTCTTTTATGGCTAAATTAGTATAAATTCTGAATTATATCCTATTTTTAAAGAAAGGTAAAAAATTTTTTTTTCACTTTTTAGCTACATGTTGAATAAACTGTTGAAAGTCCTAGCAAAGGAATTCGTTTAACTCTTATTTAGTGGTTTGGAAGTAATGACTTCTGAATTTTTTAACAGTATTTTAAATAAGAACTTTTTCCTTAATAACAAACACTCCTGTTGACATATATTTAACAAAATATTTCTGTATAAAATTATGACAATTTCTAGTTATTAAAACTGGAGTTTACAACAAATGTGTTTGTATATACATTGTCTTCCAAAGTTACATTTCTCAACAAAATTCAAATATTTTTATTGTGGCTGATCATAACTCTCATATACCAGTCTTCATCGATTTTCCAACATCCTCGCGAAGATGACTGGTGAGTAGCAGCCAGAAATCACATGTGTGCTTGCACGTGTGCCAGCTCCCACTTCATCACCTCTAGATTGGTCTTGCATTTGACCTTGCTGTCTCATCATTTTGAACAATGAATTAGAAAAGAAAAACATTACAGTATATATACTGTTATTAAAGTTTGTGTGCTGATTATTTGGATATTATTTAATTTGTATAGAAGTTTTTCTGGCTGAAGATACCAATCAACCTTCTGCTGTTAAACTCACAGTAACTGATCAGTCTTTGTACATTCTATCCAAGCTGGATCCTCCAGACAGCCATTGCCTTTTCCTCAAGGGAGCAACGGTGGCTTTCCTTAATGATGAAGTTTGGAATTTGTCAAATGTACAACAGGGAAAGTATCTTTATATCCTTTTTTTCCTACTGCCTTGAATTTATGGCTTGAAATTTACCTTGTACTCTCATCATTAAGTTATTTAATAATGATAATAGTAACTAATAATAACAGCAGCTAACTTTCACTGAATATGCCAAACAGTGTTCCAGGTGCTTTTTAGATATTAATTTATTTAAACATTAAAAAGCCCTGTGAAGTTTAAGTACTGTTATTATCCCTATGTCACAGGTGAAGAAACTGAAGCATAGAAAGATTAATACATGCCCAAGGATCCAGCTAGCTAGTGGCAGGAATCAGACCCAGGCAGCCTCGCTTGTTCTGAGTAAGAGATAAACTATAGGGTACATGGAAGATTTTGCTTCATTTTTAACTGGCATTATAGAAATTATTGGTCACATCCTTACTCTTAGGATGGTGCCATTGTGCAAAACAGTTCAGAATATTTGTCTAAATTAAAGAGTTTGTGGGGTGTTTTTAAGAATATCAGTGCTAGAAAATCATCATCAAATGAAGATGCGTTTGATTTTTTAAAAATGGAGGTCATTCAGTGATAAATCTAGTGAATGAACCCGAACCATTCCAATTTTGGTAAAAGTAATAAAAGTTTTCTTGAGCATATGAAAGCAGTTCCAAAAAAAAGGTCCAGAAGTCTTTAGAGCAGAGTCAACTTAAGAATAAACCTTTTATTTCTAAGATGCCTGTTTTAAAGGCAGGTGCACTTGGTAAAATTTTTAATGTATTGGATAAAAAACAAGTTTTTTACTTATTAGAGCATACCTGTACATGAAGAAATTCTTGCATAACCTTATGTTTGTCTCCACTGAATATCATTCTTTTGTTTTGTCAAATGTGTGCTGTTACATTTGTGTAATAATGTATCAAGGCTAGTTTCCTCTAGGAGCAATAGCAGACTTAATTCAGAGATCTCAAATAGTAGTATTTAATTAGTATACTGCACATGTTGAGTTTTGAAGAGTACATTTCAAAACCAGAACATCCCCTTAACATAGTGAATGTATGTGTGTGTAAAGTATTTCTGATTAAATATTTTCCTATTAGATTTGGAAAATTAATTTCTAACTTCCTAAAGGAATTATTTAAATTTCAGTTTTAAATAATGAAATGTCCAATAATATTGTAATTATCAAGAATACTATGGGATGTCAATGATAGAGAATACCATGTATTAAAAGTAACGTTAGTTACCATGTTTTGAATTTTACATGTCAGAAGGTAAGCTGGCTGCTTTGCCTGTGTTACTTAATTCTCTCAGTCACTCTCTCAGCCCCCATCATGAGATTTTAACCTATTTGACAAATCCATGGACCATGTTGAAACATGACATGTTCATGTGAAATGTTAAATTTTCAAAAATCAGAAATTAACATTTTATATAATACACTTAGACATACTGTTGGTAATTTCATTAACAGAAGTAGAAAGAATTTGTAGTACGTGAATAAATGAATCAGTATTCTTTAGGTCCTAAACATCTTTAAAGTAGCTCATATTCGTATTTTCTAATTTACATTTTCTAAAGTTCTGAATTCTAAAATCCTAAATCAGACTTTAGTTCTCACTTGTGCAAACCCCCCTCAATTGCATGACACATGACTCAGTTTCTGCTTGTGATATAACAGAGATCTTTCAATTGTGTGATTATACACCGTAAATAATTCTTCTGTATTAGCAATTATATAGGCTCAATTCTAATATTATAATACCAATCAAATGGCTAGATTTTCAAATTTTACACTTTTTTGATTCTCTTATTGGCATATATTAAACACACACAGATTGTTAACTTTCCTGCACACATAGATTATCAGCTGGTTTAATAAATAAATGTGCACTCAAAGTAAGAGATGTAAATGCTGAAATTGTTTTTAACTAAAAATACCATTTGTACTGCTAAAATGAAGCCCAGACGCCATTATACTGCCATCCATTTGGGACAACACTAGTCATTACTGAGGACAGGCATTAGGCTTGCTTCTTTCATCACGTGTGCTTAGTTTAGGCTGCGCTGTGTCACCACCTCTCTCAAATCAGTTCCCCCATTTCCCTGTCTTAGAGGTAAACCTGAAACCTTACAGAATTTCCGTTTTTCAAAAAGTGACTTGTCTAGTATCTTCTGCTCATCAAATGGTTTTATTTACTGCTCTCTCCTTCATGTTGCCACCTTAACAATCTTTCCAGCTACGTATCTTAAAAGACGTGATGGAGAAGTTATCAACTGGTGTTTTTAGGTATGCTAAATGACCAAATCATTGTCTTGTTTATTTTTCTCTTAAGGAGATAGGATGGGCATTTCCACTTTTGTTTCAGCTTTCTCAGTACACCTGTTGCCTCTATATTTTATTATTTTGTTTAGATAAATAGCAGCTCTTTAATATTTCTCAAAGTGTGTCTTGTGACACACCAGTAAGTATTTCCTAAGATAGAAGTGGTTCGTGAGTTAATTCTTTATTCCATTCCATACCATGCCTCACCCTTTGCTTATCCTCATCACCGCTTCCAAAGCAACTTTAAATAACCCACAGCTTGAGAAGAGGGAGAAGTACAATTTTTTTTTCCAGTTGGATCTGTTTATCAAAAAAGATGAGTGGATATAATAGGTGTTTTTCCCCTTTCAAAATTTAACCACTTTTTATGGTGGAAATATTAATGGGCAAGTTTGTTTAAGTTGATAAGAGTTGAACTATAGCAATTGTCCACTACCATCCTATGTGCTCTATTCGTCTTTAACTAGGTCTCACATCTCTAATAATTTCATTTTTCCTCAGACCTCAGTTGGATGAGCCCATTCCACTATATGAAGCAAAAGTTTCTATGGAAGTTGTTCAGAAAAATCAAGGAAGAAAGAAGCAAGTTGTTCAACTTTAATTTTGTTCTTTCTCAGACCTCAGTTGGATGAACCTGTTCCAGTATTTGAAGCCAGAGTTTCCTTGGAAATTGTTAAGAAAAGTCGAGGAAGACAAAAGCAAGTTTTTACATTTTTAAGCATGTTTTCCTGCTGAAACAAGATGCTCAGAGTTATTGGAAGTATTTGAAAAGTACTTGAAAAATTTGAAAAAATATCAAACTAAAGGTCAAGACAATTCTATAACATCTAAAGGAAATATTCAGATGCCTTTCTAGTTTTTGTTTTTATATATTTGCCTCTGTTATAAAATTCTTTCCACGAAGGAAACTGCTTTGAGCAGAAGCCACGCTACTCTATCGATAAAGCTGGAGTCTCTTGCTATGCCAAATAACGGTATTTTGTATCAACTCCATTCTCAACCTACGCCTTTGCTGTTGTAATTTAATCATTTGAATATATTTGCAAGTCTCAAAGGATTTAGCCCGTAGAAACCTAAATTGTTTTTCAAATATTCATTCACTCCAGGGATTCCTCCGGATCCAACAGGAGCATCACAGTAACTCGCACGTGGCTGCTGCAGTATTTGCGTGGAAGGCTTGCCTAGCGATGCTTGGGAAGGGGGGCGGGAGGCTGTCCCTGCATAGCCAGCGTGCTGATTTCCTATCAGGGTTCTCTGTTTTAGAGGTATGGGGAGGAGGCCCAGGCCGCTCTCTGCAGCTCTGGACTTTGCCACTAGTGCCCTCTGGAAGTTTATGCAAGCAGAAGCTCAAGTGTGATGTTTCCTTTCACCTTGGCGCCCTGCCCCGGGCTCATTACACCCTGCTGCGGATTTAAATAGCG